GGGGGGGGGGGGGGGGGGGGGGGGGGGCGTACTCATTTGTTGCTTGCCGTAGTCATTTGACCATTGACCACGCGTCCCTTTCGAGACGGAGCACCGTTCCTACACCTACTCGAGACACCACCAACATTTGGGAGCTCTTTACGTTTCTGCCACAAACTCCATAAAAATTTCTTGCACATCTTATCCCCGTCCTCTAGGGCCTCTTGTGCCCACCATCTATCCCCAATTATCGCGATCGTTTTTTCGCTGTTGTCTAATTTACCAAACTTGTCCATGTCACACCCTCTCTGTCTCATTTCCTCCTCGAGATCCTCTCTTTCCTTCTTGTACAACTCACACTCCCCAACTATGTGGGGTCTACTCTCCTCCGATTTGCCACATGGACATGTGTGTCTATCCTCCTCTTCCTCTCTCCTACGGCTGGTTTACCTCTTCCTTCGTTCTGGCAAGTCCAGATCGCCTACTCGAAATTGCAATTTCAGCTTTTTCGCATAGTCCATGGGGCCGTCCAAGTACGTCTCCATCCCTATCCCTTCTTTCAACTTCCCGTATATCTCCAAGTGGTCTTCGCTTCGTACCTTCTTCCGAAGGGTTGCCTCCTCCCTACTTTCTAGCATCTCCTTGACTTTCGTCTTGAACCCCCCGAACCCTTCCGTGTCCAACGTCTCCTCCTCTTCTCCTGTCTCCTTCCAAACCTTCTCTACCACCTTGTCCCATCTGATTCCCTTCTTTCCTGGAGTCGCTTTTCCCCAAGCTGCGTTGTCATCCATGGCTGGTAGTCTATCGTCCGAGATTCTACTTACCTTGTACTGCCAATTCAACTTCTGCATGTCTCTCTTTGTTTTAAGAGAGTACATTCCCAATTCTGCTCTCAATACAGTGTTGCTCGTTGTACTTGAACATCCTAATATTTTCTTGGCCGCTGCCATCTGCACCGTTTCCAGCTGCTTGACGGCCTTTTCGTTACCTTCCCATACCTCTCCTGCATACTCTAGCTTAGGTACAATCACATTCAAGAGAATACACCTCTTAATCCTAGTCTCTAGGTGTGGGTCCGTAAGGATCTCGTCCATCTTGCCTATCTGAGCTTTACCCTTCCCAATCAACTTCGCTATGTGTGCGTCCCATGAGCACTCCTTCGAAATCTCTACTCCCAGGTACGTATACTTGTCTACTACCGGTAGTTCTTCCTCCCCCCATTTCCATTTGAATTCTACGGGATTTTTCTTGTCTTCGTTACAGACCACTACTGCGCATTTTCCTACGTTCGCCGACAGTCTCCATTTTCGGGTGTATCCTACCGCCGCATCTATCTTTTCTTGCAACCCTTCTCGTGTTTCGGATACCCCCACAAAATCATCTGCAAACATCAGTCCGGACACACTCTTTCCCCCTACTTGGACTCCCTGTCTTACTGCTTCAACCGCCCTTATCAAATGGGGGGGGGGGGGGGGGGGGG